GGACCAATCTTGACCTTTTTAGGGTCTAGTAATGCTACCTTAACCAAACACCCCCACATTTTTAAATATTTGTAGGAAGGCTTTTTGACCTTTCCATAATTCATAAGATGCTTGAAGGGTTTTCTTGTGAGGTATTTTATTCAAAATATAATTGGCAGAAAGAATAGCTTCCGCTCACTAGTTCTAGGGGTGTACACGGTCCGGATTGATTCAGTTTTGAGAAAATCTAAGAACCAAACCGATCCTAATGGTTCTGTGATTTTGAGAACCAGACAAAATCATTACACTTGTAAAACTGAACCAGAATCAAACCAAAATAACAGTTCGGTTGTGGTTTGGTTCTCGATTCCAAAAATTTCTATTTACAAGAATAAATTGTTAATATTAGAAAAATAATTACTCAAACTAATTACATTTAACTCATGATAAAAACTAATAATATTAAGGCATTACTCAACATTACATATCTATATCATCCTAATATCATTAAAATTACAAAAAACCAATTAATAAAAATAAAACTTGATATGATAATATTAAATATTATATATGCATATATATATTTTTTTAAATAACACTTACGCATGGTTCAATGGCTTCTTCTTTTTATTAAATATTATATACTACTACTGTTTATTAAATATTATATATATATATATATATATATCTTTTAAAATTCAATTCGGTTCAGTTCGAACCGTGGTTTTTTCATAAAATCCATTAACCGAACCGTTTTTACGGTTCTCAATATTTCTTGAACCGAAACCAAACCGGTTCTTAATAGAACTGAACCAAACTATAAGATTCGCTCTGGTTCGGTCTGGATTACCAGTTTGAATGGATTTTTGAATAGCCCTAACAAGTTCTAAGGTAGTCCCGAATTTATTAACATAGCATTCATCATTTCTTATAAAGTTCGTTTTTCTCTCTCAACAACTCCATTTTGCTGAGGTGTATAAGGCGCAATAGTTTGATGCATAATTCTGAGTTGTGAACATAAGTCACCAAGTGGTTCATCATATTCACTACCTCTATCACTTCTTAACACCTTAATTTTTCTGCCTAGTTGTAATTCAACTTTATTCTTATATTAAATGAATTTTTCCATGGCTTCATCCTTACTTCATAGCAAGTACACATAGCAATATCTAGTGCTATTGTCAATAAAAGTAATGAAATACTTTTTTCCACCCCGAGTTTAAACAAATTTCAAATCACAAATGTCACTATGGACTAAGTCCAGTGGCTCAGTTTTTCTTTCAATTGATTGAAATGGTGCTTTAGTTAATTTTGCCTCAACACACACTTTACATTTATGATTTGAATCAATTTTAAATTTAGCTAAATAATCTAGGTAAATTAATTTTTAGAATGAGTAAACATGGAATGGAGGCAGCCTTTATATAGGCTTTGTTGGCACCTATTCGGTTTGAATAAAAAAGGCATGCAGAAGAAGATGACCCTTAGGTCACACCCTTTAAAATAAAGAGACATCATGAAAGGGCTGCACCCTTTCATTCAAATGGAGTCTATTCCAATTCACCACTTTCAAAATTTTCCAACATTTAGGACCACTATGCTTCCAAAAAAAGAACAATATCTAAACATTTTGACTGTTACCTGAACGTAGTCGACGTAGGGCTCTGGCAGTGGCAAGCTGTCAGTTTATAGATGTGGCTAACCTCAACATTTCCTTCTTTAGATTAGGCTCATCACATATCTATTTCATTTCCTATCTCAGATCATAACTTTAGAAATTGCTTATTTGGTTATGTAAGAAACCTAAGATCAATAAAAGTAACACACACTTTCTTGAAAAGAAAAGATTTTTATTTATTGAATAGAAAATTTACAAGGAAAAGGGGTACTTGTAGACTGTTAGATCGCTAGAATATTGTTTGCTCTAAGAAGGCATGTGAATCTAAACTTCTTTATTAGTTTCAAGTATACTCTATATAACCTACGTCCCCTTTTTGCTCTCCCTTAAGACCTTTATATAGGTACTTGAGGACTTTAAGAATGGACTTCAACATAATCTATAAACATAAAAAAAAAATATAGAAAACAAACAAAAGACAAATAGGTGGTTGTGATCAGATGATCACATGTTATTAATGAAAAAGAGACAAGTTGGTGGAGTGGTCACATGGGTGTGTAGCCCATTCAGCCATTGGTTTTTCAAATCTACTTATAGTTTTTTCAATCCATTGCATTCTCTAGATTCTATACCCCCTCATCACCCATGACATCACTAAGATCACAATTCTCATCATTTTTTTCAAACATTTCATCCCAACCCTCTAGATCTTGCTCCATCAGATATTTTTCTAAAATTTACATCATCTTTCAAATAAATATGTTCCAGAATCTACATGTTCTAAGAGCATCTCCAATGGTGTGTCATTGGGGCTACTTTTGCCAAATTATGGCAGTAATTGCTAGAAAATCACCTCCAATGGCAAGTTTTAGTAGGTGCTATCTTTGGCAAATGCCAAAGGTTGTGTCAAATATGGCACAAGCTTTGGCAGCTGCCAAGTCAGCTTCAACCAACCGTTTCCTCCCTCCCTCCCTCCCTTTTCCATCATCCTTTCGAAACACAGTTTCAATATTCACCCAAAAATACACAAATTTCAACATATCAAATTTCAAAACATAGAATCAATTTTCAAACACAAAAGCAAGCTAGAAAATCAACAATTTAAAATTTTAAAGCACAGAATCATCAAGTACCAAATTTCCAAACACAGAATCACCAAATTTCCAAATTTCAATTTCACCAATTTGAAGCAAACAAAATTTTTAAAAAAAATTAGAAAATCAACACAGCGAAGTCAAAAAAAAATTCCTAACAAAAATGGGTTGATCTTCTTTGTGTTCTTTGGATGATCTTCTTCGTGTTCATCATTAGGGTTTCAATCTTCTTCGTGATCTTGTCCAACATCGCCGATCCATTGTAGAAGTCAGAGAGAGCGTGAGAGAGAGGAGTGAGAGAAATAGAGAGGTAGGGGTAGACAGCGGCGATTGGGGGAGAGGGAGACTGACAGTGAGAGTAAGAGGGAGAGGGATATAGTGAGAGTGAGAGAAAGAGGGAGGAAATGTTGTCTTCAGCGATTGGGGGTACACATCATCGCCGATCGAAGAGAGAGACAAGAGAGTAAGAGTGAAATGGAGAGGGATAAAATGAGAGTGAGAGGGAGAGGGAGATAGAGGTTGTTGTTGATCTTCTGCGCTCGGGGATCGACACCATCGCCGCTTGAACAGAGAGAGAAAAGAGATGATATCTGAGAGTCAGAGAGAGACGGAGTTTGAGAGGAAATGGTGAGAGAGACAGTGAAGGGGGGAGGAATAAAAAGTTGGATGATTCTACACAAATCATCTCAACCGTTGATGACCAACACGTGGACGGTGGTGATGAAACGAAACAGAGCCGTTATGCTCTGTTTGGCTAAAAAAAAAAACCAAAATAAAAACAAACACCAGTTTGTGTCAAATAGTCATCTCTTCAAACGGCTATTATATTGAAACGGTAATATTTTGAATTTTTATACATAAAAACTCTTCGTCTCAATTTTATTTCACAGCAACCATTGCACATTTCATTTTTCTTTTCTCCTCGCTTTATCTCAATTTGATTTCACAATAAACTTCTGAAATTATATTGTTTTTAGTTTTTTCACACAATCACTATGGAAGGTTCATCAAAAACAAAGAGTGGAAAATCTTTCAGTACTGAAGAAGATGTGGCAATTTGTAGAGCTTGGTGTCACATTACTAAAGACCTAATTGTTGGGAATTCGCAATCTCATGCTCATTTTTAGGGAAGAATTTTTGAAAATTATTGCTCGCTACAAAATGATCACTCAAGAACAGAAGTGTCAATCTTATCTCGATGGGGTGTAATCATCAAATGTTGCAACAAGTTTTGTAGGTGTTTGGCACAAATCGAAAATCTACACCCAAGTGGAATGTCTCAACTTGACATAGTAAGATTTCATATTCATTTATTTATGTTAGTTTATTTATTTTGTCTTATTTAAAAATGAACTAATTAATTAATTTAATAATTTATTGATACAGATGCTTCAAGAAAAAATTTTATACCAGCAAGATGAAAACAAACATTTACTTTTGAACATTGTTGGCCAATCTTACAAAATAATATCAAGTGGCAAGATATACCTCCTACAAACACAATGAAGTCAAGGATACATACACCGTTTTTCCCTAATTTAGCCCCCGATTCTCCTATGGATAACTGCATTTCTCTTAAAGATGACACCAGTCCAGGTGTTGGTAACAATCCAACTGTTGGTGAGGGTAGTGTCTCTGCAACGGATAAAAGGTCTATGGGTAGGAAAGTTGCAAAAGAATTATTTCGGAGAAATCAAGTTGTTAAAGCTGAAGTCCAAAAAATAAGCATACAATTGGAGACATTTAACCAACACCTTGCTGAGACGGAAAAGAAAAAAGATGAAAGAGAAAAAAAAAATGTTTCAAGCACTATAGGAGTTGAAATGAAAAAGGAAGACCATATGATAATGACTACATTTCTCATTTGGACACTCGGATGAAAGCTTATTACACAATGCGAAAAAATGAGATTTTCGCCAAATGGTCCTCAAATGTTAACAGCCCAAATTTCTATTTCCCCCTGCCTCTTCTTGATAATTAATTACGGGATAATGTAATGTCATTTTTTTAGTCTTTATTTGCAATGTCATTTTTTTATTTTGTAATGAAATTTCATTTTTTTTTTAATTTTTGAGTATTTTCTACAAAAGAATGTAATATTATTTTTACAATGTATAATGTTGACTATTTTTTAGTATAATTTGAATTTTTCAATAAAGTATAATGAAAAAATAAATATATTTTGTGAAATGAAGGCAATAAAAAGATAAAATACATTAACTGACATTAAATGAAAATTTTATTATGATAAAAAGACATTAACTGACATTAAATGACATTAACTGTCATTAAAAAGATAAAATACAAACTTAATTTAACTCTCCAGCTCGGGACCACAAGCGTTGAATTAGATCATTACAAATTGCATTATGGGCTTCAGTAAATCTAATCCTCTGTCGATTCAACATAAATTGAGCATACTCCTCATTTGGATCGCATGACACTTGACATAGGGTATTATTGGTATCAGTTTTAAGTTGTGCTGCACTGCGTTCATTTTCTGGAATATTACGCTCGTCTTCAATGATCATATTGTGCAAAATAATGCACGTCTTCATGATGTAGTACAGATCATCATCACTCCAACCTCTAGCTGGAACTTTGATAATATTAAATCGTGCATGGAGCACTCCAAATGCCCTTTCAACATCCTTCCGACATGCCTCTTGCATCCTCACAAATAGTTGTCTCTTTGTGCCTTGAGGTTGAGATATTGTTTTCACAATCGTTGCCCAACGAGGATAGATACCATCAGTAAGATAATACCTCATGGTGTACGCGTGATTATTGATGGTGTAGTTGGCAGCAGCGGCACGTCCTCTAGTTAATTTGGCAAATAAAGGCTAGTGCATACAATCCAAACTCCCTAACATTCCGGGAAACCCACGTTGCTCTCCCTCTTGCAATAATCTAGCGACATCTATCTCATTTGGGAATCTTAAGTAAATGCCTTCATAGGTAGCAACAATTTTTTTGGTAAAAAAAATTCAAGATGGCAATTGCATTAGTTTCGTCAATTCTAATATACTCATTTACAGCATCAGCAGGTACGTCGTACTGCAGGATCTGAAGTGCTACAGTTATCTTCTGTACACCGAATAATCCAGGAGCACCAATGGCATCATGGGTTTGAATGAAGCACTCATTTACTTGTTGAATATCATGTAAGATACTAACAAACAATGACCGCCTCAATTGCCTTTGGATAGACAGGATTATCTGCAAAGTAATTTCTATAAATTTGTTCGTCGCCTTTGATCCTCTCACAATTAATGTATCGACGACCACTTGTGTAACCAACACGTCTGGTTGGTTAGTTTAGGCTTAACGCTTGTATTATTTGTTGTTGCGCTATTAACAGTTGCATCATGATGATATCATCATCAGATGATGAAGATTCATCAAAATCTCCATTGAATATGGCTTTAGTCAAATTGTTCATTGTGGGATGGGTGAGTAGGTGAATATGAAAATTGTAGAAAATCTTCTAGGTTGGTATAGAGAGTTTAGAAGATATGAAAATGATGGGTAGGTGAATATGAAAATTGTAGAAAATCTTGTGTTATATTTATAGAGAAAATTGTGGGTGGGTGAATGATGGATGGTTGTTGGGTGGGTGGATGAATAATGGATGGTTATTGGTGAATGAATGTTGGGTGAATGATGGATGATTATTGGTGAGTAATTGGTGATTGTTTATTTTTTATATGTAATTAAAAAAATTTATTAAATATGTAGTGAAATATTTTTTGGTGGGGTGAATTATATTTTTTTTTTTCCAATTTTTCAATTTTTTCTTTTCATTTTTTATATTTGTCTAGTCGAGAATAAAAATATATAAAAAAAAAATTTACAAATAGTTAAAAAAATGTCACAAAAGACAAAAAATAAACAAAAATAAAATCACAAAAAATCAATATCCAAACAACACTTACAAACTTGAAGGGAAAGTTGGTTGAGATTTGCCAAAATAACAAATGACCATTGGAGCACCATTGCTAGAATTTGGCAAAATGATACTATTCATTGCCAAATTATAGCAATAGCAATGGCATTATAGCAACAACCATTGGAGATGCTCTAAGTAATCATATACTGATTCATAAGGAAATTCTAGAACAATTATTTTTTCTATTGCATAGGTGGTTCTTTCATAATGAGCTAATTTAAACCCAACCCTTACTAATTCCATAGTTTGGTGAGATATTATGAAAAATCCTCTTACCCTTACTTCTGTTGGATTAATTATAAAAGGTTCTTCCCAATCTTTGAACCCATCACATTTGTGGGGGATCATGTTATTCTTGTCTTTTATTTTATCAAATAATGAGCTACATTTAAACATCCATCTTTTACCTCGATTTGTAAAGTTGTAAATGTAATGGGTGTCATGCTTGGATATTCTTATAAACTTCATAAATTCTCTTGAACATGAATTGTTGGAAATTGGTGAGTCGAGAGAACACAGTACTCTAAGGGTGAAGTGGAACGTCGAATGTATTGACTATTCTGAATTTCCACATTTGAATCAGAGAATCTTTTAGGCTAATGAGCTTATCTGGATCGAATGAAACCTTTAACATTCTATAAATGGCTGTCTGTCCGTTAAAGTAGCACCATTGAGTTCTCAGATGGGTGACACTTTCTTCATACCATTTCAGAAATAACTTAACGAAAGTACATTCTCTTATTTTATTTTGGATATCATAGAGGAGCTGAAGAAACAATTTTACTACTTCTAACTGTAAAAGGTTTTGGCAACTAGATGGGTGGTCCTAATGAGCTCGTTCACGGAACGACTCTTCCCTGTTGCCTACATTTTCTGATAATATTAGCGTTGTCTTGTATTACCAGGTCTAACATTTCTTGATTCTCTGTCAAGAATGTTTCCTTCTCTAGCAGTGTGAGTCTTGTAAATGTGGATGTCATCTATAAGTTCTTGAGTCAGAGTATCTGCTAAACTATTTTTATTACTATTAATATGTTTTATATCAAAAGTAAATTGTTTTAACTAGAGTTGTCATTGTAAAAGTTTCCATCGCTCATGCATGTTAGATAAATTATTTTTTGCAAAACCTAGTAGGCCTTTGCAATTAGTTCTTATTAAATTTTTTAAAAAAATTATTCATAATAAAAAAAATCATAATTATGTATTTTCTTTTCTCGCCGCCTATCTGATAAATAATCTATTTTCTCACATCCTTATTTAAATGGATTTTTAAAGTTTATAACAATTATCAAGTCTCACTTAAAATTTTTAAATAATACTAGCATCTCATTTAATTCACTGAATCATAACAAATTCTTCTTTTCGTACAACCTTTGCTAGTGATAAAAATCGTGACATCACAGGTTAAATATTTTTTAAGGGTAAAAATAACAAATATTTTCTGATATTTTGAAGTTGAATGAACAAGATTTCAAAGCGTTGCGGACATTACTGATGTATGATATCCTTATGTTAAGGTTTAGATTTTTAACCGATTGGCATTTGACAAAAATATATACTCCCAAATATTTTTATATATTATGGATATTTCTTAACATTTGAAAATTATATTAGAAAGATCTCAAACCTAACAAAAGTTATTAACGATAACAATTTTTATTTATGTAAGCCAAAGTGATGTATAATATCTTCATATTGCCCTTCTTGAATTTACAAATCACAAATATTTTTATATTAGACACAAATATACAAACAACTCCTATTATGTTGAAAATTGTACTAGTTGAACTCAAAACCTCATCACCGTTACCAACAGTAATTTTTTGCTAATATGAGCCAAAATAATGTCTAATACTCCGCTACTATCCTTAAGGTCGCTTGTTTTAAAATATATATATATATATATTAATTATTAAATAAATGACAACAACAAATTAATAGTACTAAGAAAAATGTTTTTCTTGCATTTGTCACATTAAATTCTTAATCTGCTATAATATTACTCTTCTATACTTTATTTTATTTTTATTTTCATTTGGCTTTTCACAAAAAAGGAAAAAAAATAAATTAAGCCTAAGAGAATAAGTTTGCTAAATATATTACCATCGATGGCCTTTTTATTAAAGCATGGCTCATAAATTAGGGTTCATTTGGAAAGTAAGTTGACTTTTTGATCATTTTAGTTTGGGATTAAAAAGTCTCGTTTGAGATAGATTTTTTAACTTTTTTGATTTTTTTTTAGAGAAAGAATGTAATGATTATGGGTTTGATATGATGTTTTGTTCTAAAAAATCTATTTTATCTTTTTGTGACTAAAATAGCCTCAAACCCAACCCAATCCAACCCTTCTTTCCAAACGAAACCTAAATATCATAGAGTCTCATTGATATATTAAATAACAGGGTGTTTGTGACTTTTTGATCATTTTAGTTTGAGATTAAAAAGTCTCGTTTGAGATAGATTTTTTAACTTTTTTGATTTTTTTTAGAGAAAGAATGTAATGATTATGGATTTGATGTGCTATTTTGTGCTAAAAAATCTATTTTGTCTTTTTGTGACTAAAATAGCCCCAAACCCAACCTAACCTTTCTTTCCAAACGAAACCTAAATATCATAGAGTCTCATTGATATATTAAATAACAGGGTGTTTGTGACTTTTAAATTTTATATATTTGAAATAATAAGGGGTGTGATTTTAAATTGAAAGATAAAATAGCCTTTTCATTAAAGTATAACTGACAAATTATTAAAAAAATATCTTCTTATGAACATATCCAATCATATCCATATCTTATTTCTAATTTTTATAGATGTATCCATAAAGTATCTATCCGAACATCATATTCGCATCTTCTAGTATTTACTATCACATAAAAATATATTTGGATAAATTCAATGAAATTGGTAGGTTTCGAAGAGTAAAATAAAAGATTTTGGACAGATTTGGTGTTAGTTTCTTATAAGTTGATAATCAAAAATAAAAGGCTAAAAGCATCTCTCCAACTTTTCAATAATCAGTTTTTTTTTTTTTCAAGTTATTTAAATTATATTCCTCTCATAACTGGTATGTAAAAATTGTAGTAAACATTTTAGCATAGATTTCCTGAATTAAAAAACAAAAAAACAAAACCATAAATAAAATAAAATAAAAAACAAAAATAAAAAGGAAGAAAAAGCAGAAAGAAAAAGAAAAAACTTCAGTAAACTGCACCAACTGGGTCATTAGCTCAATGAGAAAACCTCAGAAAAATTGAGTTGTGCTTGCAGGGGTACCAACCTAAAGTTCCTAACCCTGATCATCCAAAGTCCATTACTAACTGTATGTGAAAATTGAACCAAAACGCACATAACAAGCTTGAATAACTGAAAACTTATAAAGCTAAAGTGCAGATCACTTTCTGTCCTAGTGGTACCCTTAACACAGCCAGTTGTATAAGACTAATAAATCCAATCTAGAAGTGCTCTTAAACCTTAATTAGGTTTTAACCATCCATAGCAATGAATGATATGGTGGTTGGGCAGGCAAGACAGCAGACCTGTCCTAGAGCAACAAAATTTATCTAGATCCCCCACATATAATTCTAAAACATTACAAATTTATTAAGGGGCTGCTGCCCATGAATCTACAAAATGAAAGAAGAAAAACAAAAAGTAGCTGATTTAATTCATGTTGATTGCCTCTTTCATGGGGAAATCAGCTGTAAATACACACCATCATATCCAGTCTTGCTGAAACAACGAAAGCTTCACAAGTTCTTTTGAGGAGAAAAAAATAGACCTGGCATTTTACCAGTATTGTTAGCTCAGGGTACAAAGTGGCACTAGCTTTGAAGAAGAATAGATTGCTGAAATGTAGGGGTGGATGAGTTTGCAGCAATGGAGGTTCTATGGACAAGCTCAGGAAGGGAATTTAGAAATAAAATAAAATCAACCAGGTAAAATTCACCATTTTAATGAAAGTGTTGTCCTGAATTTCCTTGAAGATGATTTATCTAAGAAAAGGGTAAAGAAGAAGGAACAAATTTGCTTTGCCCCCTACTGTGCAGACCATCCTGAAACACTGTTACATATGGTTGCTTAGTGTTCTTTCTCTCATCTGGTATGGTATCTCTCCCCTTTAGTGGACACTGCTGATGATAGATCATATCATACGGTGTTTTGGCTCGGGTGCTCAAATTTTATGGCGCATTTGGAAGAGTCAGAATGTCGTTTATTTCAACAAATTGTCAACAAAATCCTACCAAGGGTGTGGGAAAATGACACTGAGAGAAAATATACTAATATATGTGGAAAGCAAGCTGCTGCTCAACTTGTTACATCATTGCTAAGAAAGAACATTGTAGGTGTTGATTTTTGACCTCCCAATCAAATTAGATCTCTTCGCCAAGATCCTATGAACTTAGTCGTAGAGCACACGGAAGAATAGATTAAGCCGAACACTTCAGGGACACTCCGATGATGAAGTCAGTCACTTATCTCTCATAGATATCGGCACAAAATAACACTAGTTCAGAATATACCTTAGACCCACAAGGTGCCCTTGAATATCTTGGATTCAGATGTGGTTTGACCACACCTCAACCAATCAGAATCATCACTTGGCACTTTAGCTAACCATGTAGGCCACATGAACAACACAAAATTATGACCCCACAACTACCCTAGATTCTATTACCTTGGCAACCTGATGGAACCTATATCGTCTGATCTTCTAACATGTTGGCTAAACAACATGCTAAAGATACTCCTCCGACCAAGATCATGACTCATCGGCTTCATGAAACAAGGACTCAAATATCCACTCATCAAGAACCAAGAATCAAGAATCAAGATTATCTTTCTCATCTTCCTTGTCGGATGTTGACCATCTATTCCTACTAAGTTTCCATAGATAGCGCCAAATTGTAGGTGTTAATTATTGACCTCACAACCAAACTAGATCTTTTTGCAGAGATCCTAAGAACTTAGCCGTAGAGCACACGGAAGAACAGATTAAGCCCAACACCTACACACAGAAGAATAGATTAAGCCCGCCCAACACCTACACACAAAAGAATAGATTAAGCCTAACACCTACACACAAGAAGACAAGAAATACCACGGTGGCTCATCCACCGGGGCCACTCTGATGGTCAAGTCAGGCAACTTATCTCTCATAGATATCGGCACAAAATAACTCTAATTCAGAATATACCTTAGACACACGGGAGTGCCCTCTTTATATAATGATCACCGTCCAACTTTCCATAAAAGTCTTACTTCATGAGACTGTATCCTTTATAAGGATACCACTTATCCAAGACTCCTCCTATTTAGATTAAGATAAACTCTCTCAAAAATCTAACCTTACCCAAACAGAGAGCCTATCATCATCTAGGACTCTAGTTTCTCATTCGAATGTCTCAGATTTAGATATGGTTTGATCACACCTCGGCCAATCAAAATCACCCACGTGGCACTTGAGTTTTCCACCTAGGCCACGTGGAAAACTCAAAATTATGTCTCCACAAACATATTAATAAATGAGTTTAGTAAAAATGAAAATGTTAAGATAGATGTGTAAAAAGCCTATGAAATATAAAATTATAAATTAATACATTTGCAAAATGATAGAGGAAGCAGCAATTGAGGATAAGTTAATAGAGAACAAACTAAGATAGTTTGATACCATGAAAATTGGTAAATGCAACTGATATGAAAGAGTGATAAGAATTAATGAAAAAAATTAGGGGGATATTAGTGGCCTAAATTGACAAGAACTGTTGAAAAAAATTAGGGGAATATTAGTGGCCTAAATTGACAAGAATTGTTGTAGTAAAATGAATATATTTAAGGATAAATTTCACTTTACTCCTTTATGATTTAACCTATATGTTAATTCCTCTTATTATTTCCTCTTATTATTTGAAAAATATTGCATAACCCTTCTGCATATAAGTAACTTAAATGTGTGAATTATAAATATTTTCATCATTTAGTTGAGAGATAAAACGCACTTTAATCCTGTGCTGTATTCCACATTTGATTCAGCCCCTTGAAATGATTATTTTTCCTCACCATCCAAACATAAAATTGGTGGCAGAGGGATTGTTGTGGCGGAGGGATTTGGGCAACGGAGGGAGATAGAATTTGGGGAATGATGAAAGAGAGGAAAAGAGGGTAAATTTGCATAATTCCTTTAAAATGTGAGGTTAAAATGTAAATTTTTTTACTTCTTCAGTTAAATGTGACAGCAGAGAACAAATTGATACGATTTCAAAAATAAGGTAAAATTAAAAGTATTCAAAGTCTGAGAGTGTAATTGATCATTGAAGCAAGGTCTAGGGATAAAAATAAAATTTTCTCAAAAAGAAAAAAAAAAAAAAAAAAATCCAATTGTAAATCTCACAATTTGATTTATAAAACTGGACAAAATTATAGCCTCCAATCAATTGAGCTGAATATGATAATTTGACTTTGACATTTTCCAAAAATCAAATAATCAAAAAGCATGACATTCAAATAATGTTTTCTATATTTGTCCTCCTATTTCCCAGCAAGCAAACAAATATCAAAGAACCAAATATCAGAACAACTTCCATTCACAACCACTGACTTATTATCAAGCAAATATTCCGATATATCATCACAAACATCCACTTATCCACATCATTCAGATCAAATCACTTTAAAATCAAGCTCCATCTACATATTCAATACTGAGAGTTCAAACACAAGCGAATTCATCACAATACAGTTCAAACACAAATCCTAGAGAGAGAGAGAGGGCGAACATTAGGCAAGCGAACGGTACTGATCGGCGTTGTAGGTATCGCGATCGACGCAAAGGATGGCATAGAGAGCGTAAATGATTCCAGGAATGTAACCTAGGATAGTCAACACCAAGCATATGAGGAACTCGACCTGAATCAACACAACATAACACAAATTCAACATTATACACACACACACACACAGATATATATATATATATATAGAGAGAGAGAGAGAGAGGACTCACGCTGCAGCAGCCATGCCTGAAGCAAACACCGACAGGAGGAAGAAATATAGCGAGGAGGATCTCGCAGAGGATCTCGCATCGAGTAGGCATAGTTGTGCAGAGGAGAGAATTGAAGAGAGAGAGAGAGAAAGAGAGAGTTGGGGAGTGTTGGTTTGGGCGTCTTAATGGAGAAGAAAACAAGTAGATCTGATCTTTCCAAGACGCCCATCTGGTCCGTAATAAATATTTGTCAATGCCCCATCCACGCTTACTGTCCCATCCAAGCTTTTCACACACAGAAAATCTTATAACTCTTAAATTTTTTATCAAATATTTTGTATAAATGTGGGTCCATCTGAAACATTGGGTCATTTATTTAAGTATGAATTTTAATATTTTTAATATTATTTTTCACGCAAATTCCTATTTTATTTTAGGGTAATGTTAGGGATATAAAAGTTTGTTTAGTTTGTATATCAAGATATAATTTTTGAGAAAAAATTTTAAAATTTTGTTTGGTTCAAATTTTAAAAAAAAATTTAAAATCATTTTCTCTCTCTCTTACACATTAATTAATTACTTTTTTTCTCTCTTCTCTCCTTCTCAATCATTGTTTATCTCATACACATCTATTCAATTACAATAAAATATTAAATTAATCCAAACAATTTTCAAAATATACAACCAAACAAATTAAAAAAATTTCAAACTTTCTCTCCAAATTTTTTTTGAAAATTTATCTCAAATCACAAATCAAACAATAAATAAATGATCAAATGTCTCATATGGGTGTGGGGTCTACAATTTTGCGGACCCCACACCCATGTAAGACATTTGGTCATTTGTTTAGTAGAAAATTTGAAACCTATAACATTTTCTTTTATTTTGTTATATTATTTTTATTTTTATTAATTTCATATTACATGTGGCTCCTCTTCTTACTATAGGGGTTAACAAATGGCTTGTGGTTCATGGGTGGCTTGACAACAGCATGGTTTGGGGTGGGTTTTGCCCGGATCCGAGCCCAGACCGAGATCTAGACCTGAGTTTGGGCCATCATTTTAAAACCCGGCTTGTCGACTTGCTCAATGTCCACTTAAAACCCAACCCGCCCGAGGCCTAGTGTCATTTTTAATAAAAAATAATAAAATTTTAGTAAAAAAAAAAAGAAAAAAATTAAAAAAATATTCAGGCTAGGCCCAAGCTTGAGCCCAGACCAAATGACTGACTCATCCAAGGCCCAAATACACTTGGGCCTAGGCCTAATTTTCTATCCCATGGCCTAGTCCGGCCTTAATTTTGATATGAACCCACGCAACCCGACATGGGCCGGACCGGGTCAAATGTACACCCTTATACATCATCATTTAATTTTTGGGTGTAGTTTGTTTCCGTCCAGTTCGCGAAGTAAGTTTACTTTTGGATTCTATTTTTATTATTTGAACTATTCATATTTTAAGGTTCGTTGAGTAATCTTCTATGTAAAAAATCAAATCAATCAGATAATAGTAATCACATATTCAAATAAAAAAAATAGACAGTGAAAAAATAAATGATTCATACAAAATTGATTCGAACCCGTAGTTGTCATTATCCTATTAATTTGATTTTTTTACATGAATGATGTACTCGACGAACACTAAAATATGAACGGTTCGGATTATCGAAGCAGGATTCAAAAATGGGCCCATGTCGGAGAATAGACGATATAATCATGATCTCCAACTAGAGACAAACTAGACTTTTTTTTATTATAATTTTGTGGCCGGTGACAGCGGCCAAAAGTGGAGAATAACGGAGGATTGCAAATGCAAAGAAGAAGAATGAGAAATATGAGGTGTATAAGGAAAGCTATGACAGAAAGGAAATGGATGCGATGGGAGGTGATGAAGGTTGAGGAGAAAGTGATAACCTAATAGGTAGGGGTGGCAACTAACAACAAAATGGACATGGAGGCGACGGGAGACAAAAGAGGTTGAGAAGGAAGCGGTAACTTAATAGGTAGGGATGGCAACCAGTGACAATGGTTAGGGTTGGATTTGCTGGAGAAGATAAATGTAAGTTGATATTATATAAAATTAGTCGTGTTTTGAAATAAAATTAAAATATTTAATTTGCGTGTAGTGTGAACTAATCAAATGGTGATGAGATAGTGTGTTCTGAGACAAGTGATGATGTGGAAATAGAATTTCTTGGCTCAATAAGGACCATTCACTTTAAAACAAAACAATCATAAAAATGAGTGTATTTATAATAATAACATTACCATATCATTCTTATAGGGCATGCTTGATTGAACGGATTATAGTATAGGATTGTGATTATTAATCCATGGGACTCGCATTCCCTTGTTTGGCTTCAATTTTTGTTATCTAGATTAAATTTCGTTGGACATTCTATCCGACAAAATCTACTAGTTTTTAATCTTACAACTAATAATGCAAAACAAACATATAATTGTGATTATATGTTTTCATATCTATTGCAAAACAAATTTGAACAAGAGATAATTATTTATCTCTGTAATCCAACTAAATAACCAGCCATATATGTTATCTAAAAGACAACCTAAGATGGTGAGTGAATTAGACTTCTACAAATAAAAATTATTAATAATACCTTAATAAAAATTACAACAGTGACGCAGATTATTGATTAATGAAGAATAGATGACTGACAAAAATGATCAAGCACAAAGATGAATTTAACAGTGAAGAATGACTAATCAACTAAGGCAATATATGAATAAAATGATTAGAGTCTTAATAGAAATAAATAGCAAATAATGACTTAGATAAATTTGCAATGGAGTTAGCTATCACAGTAGGTAGAAATTAAATGATTAATACATTCATTAACAGATAGCTATAGCAGTGAAAGTAAAAGGATTAGAGAAGATAAGGCAAACAAATTTATAGTGGTTCAGTTTCAACCAAGCCTACATCCACTCCTCAAGTTTCACTTGAGATTTTTCACTATCTTCTAGCTTCACAGGGGTGCTAGCAACCTCTCAATACATAGAGCATGTAGAGACCCTAATTTTTCGTAATTACACATGAAACCCTAAGCCTTAGTTTAATAGCATTTTAGCACCTAGTTTCGTAAAAGTCTGCAAAATGGCCCAATAAAGAATAATTTTCCAGTATATTACCAAAATTAAACCGAGAACACCACCTTACAATTGGAAATACCCTAAAACTTGGTTTTTATTTATTTACCTCTTAGTTTATAAATTAATTCATACATTTTATTTTTATTTTTATTTTTGTCTTTGTTGTTCTTTTATTTATTATTTATATGAATATTTATTATTTATTTGAATAGAAAACTATTGTGTATTTGAATATATACATAGTTTAAATATATATATATATATATAATATGTTGGTGGAAGAGTGGTTGGATAACAACAAAAAAATAAATAATAAAAAAAATAAAAAACAAATATCTAGATATTTATTTAGTTCTCTTAGCAATTAAGCTACCTTATACTCTATAAATTGAGGGCTTGTCCAAATCCACTCCCATGTTTTCAAAAAGCCCAAGGAGAGGGTAAGAGAGGGATAGTTCACTACAAAAAAATTGACTTTTTGCGACGGTAAAATACCGTCGCTAATACTCTTAATGCCGTCGCTAATACTTTTTGCGACGGCAAGAGGGGGTTTTGCGACGACAAGAGGGGGGTCGCAACTGCAGGGGTTGCAAAAGAGTTTTTGCGACGGTAAGTGCCGTCGCTAATGTTTTGCGACGGCATTTTTAACCTTTTGCATTAAATAGCTTTTGCGACGGTAGGTACCCCGTCGCGAATAAGCATACAATAAAAAGTGTGTTAAATATTGAAGTATTTGCAGCGGCTTGTGTACCGTCACAAAAACAAGTTTATTGAGATGGTAAAAATTTACCATCGCAAATAGTGGGCCAATTGTGACGACAATGGTCCGTCGCAAAAAAAAACTCTTATTACAACGACGTCATTTTACTTATTAGTTTATCATTTGTGACGGTTTAAACATGCCGAAAGTATAAAAAATATGAAATTTTCTATTTTTTGCGACAGTATAATGTCGTCGCAAAAAGTAAAACCTATAACAAAATTAATAAAAATATTAAAATTTTCTATTTTTTCCGACGGTGGTGCCGTCTCTCACTCTCTAAGAGCTGATTATTTACATTCCATTCACAAAAACATCATAACAGAAAATAAAAATAAAAATTGATCAAACCATCAAATTCAATATTTTACAAAGAATAATTAAACTGTACATGTTCATAAAAGCATATTTAAATTATAAAATTCACCCAAATCATGCAACTCTCTCTCTCTTTCTCTCCACAAATCAAATTGTGTGCAGAAAGTATTTTACTTGTACTTAATTATTTCTGCTTCTGCTTCTTCCCACCAGCGAGAATGCGTTGAATCTGAAGCCCTCGGCTGAAAGCTTGGTTGAATAGCAACCTGGTCTGGAATTCAGTGACTAATGGGAACCACGCCACATTCTATATATTAGGAAAGAAGTGTGACAAAAAATATCTATTTTAGAAAGCAATAATAAAAAAAGTTAAGAAATGAAAAAGAAAGACAGTCCTGGTGAAATAATGATAAATTGTTTTTTATCAAATCAAAGTGTAGAGCGCGCCCGCGTGGGACCTCGCTACAGTTCGGACTCGATTTGTGTCACGGTTCTTAATCTGAACCAAAGAGTCCAAATCTGGCAAATCGTTTTGAGAAACAGATTTTTGAAAAAGTAGTGCCAAACATGGACTGCTTTGCCAGATACAGAGTCGCCACCTAAATATTTTTTTATGGGAGAATTTAGGAAACCCTGACTCGGTGCCGAAGGCCACATGTCCGTCATCACTGGAGTTGTCTCGGCTCGGGAGCTTGGGTACGATTGAGGAAGGTCAGCTATGAGCACCCCCTTTCGCCCGGACCGAAGACCGGCCTCTATTAACCGTGATATCTAGTTTTGAAAACGTTTATGTATTCTTATTCTAATTATTAGCCTAAGATTACTATGTTATGCGCGCAGTAAACAAGTATAGACCAAATTGCCCAAATTGGAACAAAACATATTCCAATTATTAGCCTAAGATTACTATGTTATGCGCGCAGCAAACAAGTATAGACCAAATTGCCCAAATTGGAACAAAACATTCTATGTTCATTTTGAAATGGTTTGCTACTCATAAGTAGGCTAAAATGCAGGTTTTGCCACCCTCAAGTGGGCTTTTTTAGAAAAGACGGTTTTGCCACTATCTAGTGGGCTTAAAACAAATATAGTTTTAACGCATTATCCCAATCTAAGCAGTTTGACCTCCACCCACAGGCATTCAAGCAATTTATCTCATGTAAACACTTAGCCGCATGGCAAGCATACTTTTATGGCAACATTCACACGCATGTTGGATGCTAAAGCAAAAATACTTACATTGTACTCCGTGCCAAAACAATAAACTAGTTAGCAAACATGCATGATCCTAGTTCATGTCAAGTTGACTAATGCAACACATGCAAGATGCAATTAGAGTAGGCTCGGCTAATCTACGATGACATGTGAAATGCAACCAATTGATGCACGTATTCAATTTGGAATTGAAATACAAATGCAGTTAGCATGATGTACCGAGCCTAATGCATGTAATACAAATGCATGAATGCACGCATGCATAGCATAAGGTATGCTAAATTAAACATGTCCTAATACTATGATGACGGACAGGTAAGTAAAAGGGAAGAAAGAAGTGAGGTTGGAAGACATACACACACTCACGCACACTTATTACACAATTGCCCTCACTCGGAGGGACCAAATAAATATTACAAATTAATTAACTACGCAAGCTAATTAAATATTACAAATAATAGTCTTGTAAATTGTTGGAAGCATAACAAATGTGGTAAATACCTCCCCTGTTACCTTGAGAATGACAATTGCAACCTGTACTCCTTAATGCAATGTATGTAAGAATGCCATTCTATAAATTTTTCTTTTTGAAATAGATAAAATACTATTCTATAAATAATTTTGATAAATAGCTCGGTTATGTTATATATTCTGTACTCTCTAGTCCATGAAGCATTGGTAGCTAAATGTTTAAATAACATTTCTTGAAAACACATCCAGTTTATAATTGAGACTTATTAGTATTCTTATCTAGTGCATGTTTCACATTCATTTAATTGTTTTGCAAATAATAAGAGGTATATTGAGATGACAAAAATGCTTTTTATTTCCGTATCTCACGAAGAATGGAATTTAATGACTTTTGGAATTGGTTGGATGATCGACCTGGTAATTGTGAACCCTAGTGGTGGTTTTCATATAGCAAACTCTTGTTTATTTCTCTAATAGGTTGTTAATGTAATGAAATGCAAAGTGACACTGTAGTATTTTGTACTGTTCTAAGGTATCCTCTTGGACGTGTGATTGGTGGAAACTGTTTACCCTGGATTGCATTGACCAGCTGGCACAATTGGTGGTGTGTATATTGAGATGAAGACTAGAGATTAAGAACAATTAATTTTCTGTTGTTCCTTGTTACCAGATTATAGTGAACTCTGTATATCTGGTTTTCCTTTATTATAAAACAATCAGAAGGTGAATTTGAAGTGAGTCTGCTGCATTAGTTATTGCTGACGACTTTACTTTCTGATGGAGGATACTGAATTCTTTGAAATATTCCTGTCTGTGGAAACTGTTTGTGCATTTACGGCTCCAGTAATTCTCTGCTATTGCTGATATGGCAGACCTACCTTCTCACAAAGGTTCATGTTCTATTTTTATTATTTGTTTTGGAACAATGTATTTCTAGAAGACCTAGGACTCGTTATGTATTATGTTTAATGTGAGTTATTCTGCAAACTGAGAATTTCTCAATCTTTGTCCAATACCCCAACACGCAGGAAGTTAAGGAGGTGCCGGTGCCTGGCACTGACTGCAGCAAGTTCTTTTTAGCCAATGGTAAATTATATACCAGGGTAGTTGTACCTTTATTTTTATTCAATTTTATGAAATTTTGAAACTTTGAGCAGCATTCTAACATGTAAAAATCAACTTACTGTATATCGAATCACGTGGTTTGTTTCATTAGTATTACGACTTTGTGACTAGCCAGCCAACTCACACCCATTTTTGCGTCCTCTAAAGACTGGCACGTCACGTTTAATAGCCTAAGCCACGACCACGGCTGATTACTTCAGCTCGACTGTGTTCGTTTGCGAGTTCCCGGAGGTCTCGGCTCGCGCCGCATTGCCTCAGGATCGCCCGAACTCGCACTGTTTCAGTATCGGTTCTTTGGACCAAAACCTTTTGTTTTGCCTGTAGTAGGGGCAGGGAACCTGACCTTGTGAGACATCGCCCATCACACACCAGGCAGTAGGCTGGAGGCACCAGGTTGCGTCTTTTTCTTCCATCGCACAATTGTTGATTTTGCCGGATTTACGACGGCCACACTATATTGCCGGTCGCTAATAATAATGATTGCGATCGGTCACTGTTTTTTGCACGGAATAAGCATTTGGGCAGCTCACGACCCACTGTTCCTCTCCCACACCACTTTATGGGATATTTTGTCGCCAGCTGTGATAGCTGGCACCAACATCCTTTG